AGAATATATCTTACAGCCTTACTATGTGAAAGCTTCAGGTTAAAAGGGAAAAGTTATTTGAATTTTAATAACCGGAGAAGTTAAGGGTATAATTTTGCATCTGGAATTGGAAAAACTAAATGTAAATTGTTGCCTATATTATTATTTACAGGTTTAAAGGATTTTTCACTTTTATTAAAGTTTAAATTTTTTCTTATAAAGTTTTAATAAAATAATCAACTTAAACTTTTCATAAAATTTGCAAATCTTTATGAATGTATAAAATTTTATGTTGTCTGTTAAAAAAACTTCTCTTGGCCCCATCTTATCTTTCCTCATCTTCCTTCTTATATATATTTAATGGTTCAATTGAAACACTTAAGTAAATAATTCAAATCCCAATTTGAACTCAACTGAAATCCTAAGAGATTTGGGATTTGCTTCACCAAACCTCTCCATTTCTCAAACACCCAATTTTTCGTGTTTAAAACAGAACTTAGCCTTTAGATCCAGTCAAATCCAAAGGTCAAGTCAATGTCCCTGACTCCCAGTTGCCCAGTGTACTTGGCAGTGACTGCTAGTCCTAGCTGATGCTGCTTTCTCAAAAGCCCCATCCCGTGGTAAAGCCAGGGGTGTCTCGGTTTCTCAGCTCCAGCTTTTATTGTGTGTTTTGGATTTAAAATTTCAGTGGAGCTCCTTTACCCTCAAATTTCACTTAGCTCTGAGTAACATCCTGCCACATATATGAAGACATGAAATTAGATAAGCAAATGGTTATTTATTTCTTTAGACTTATTTCCCACTCTTTGTGCCTAGCTTTTTTATATCAATGGCTCTTTTACTCATTAGAAAAAAATATACGCCAAATAGATAAAATGTATAAAATGCAAACATTTTTAAACATGTAAATAACAATACAGACAGCTAGCTCAATAATTCCCACTCAGTTTTTCCAATTCCAGATACAAAGTTATGCTTTTAACATCTTTGGTTATTAAACTTCTGAATACTTTTCCCTCTTGTTCCGGAGTTTTGTACATCGTCAGGCGGTAAGAAGTTTTCCTGACTAAAGGGCTTCATGACTCAAGTGTTATGCTTGTCCTGAATTGAAAAAGACTTTATTAGGAAAGAAAATGGCCAGCCTCTTCTTCCTAATCAACTTACTGTGTGTAGTTGAGCTTTGAACCTCAATCTCTAATAACAGAGTTCTGATCATTTTAAGTTTTTATTATGGATCAGGTGAAGGTTTACAGGGAAGATGATCAGTTTACATTCATACACATTTTGTGTCAACAGCTTGTTGGCGAGCTCCTCAGGGTACCATCACCACCATCCCATTTCCACTCTGTGTTTCCTCTTTCTTTTCCTCCTCTTTCTAACCATCTGAGCTTTGTCCTTGGGTAAATGGTGCTGCCCCTTTTGATCTTAACTGGTTGACCATTCTACCACAGGAGTAAATTCGGTTCTGGTCATGAAGGCTAAAGGCCAGAGTGCCAAGGGTCCCACCAATCTCTAGCCAACAAGGAAGCCTGGTCTCTTATGATTTTCAGTTTTGTCCCGCATTTTTCTGACCACTCTAGCCAGGACCTTCTAGGGTGACCCTTGTCAGAGCATTTGGTGGTGACAGCCAGGCACTATCTAGTCTTCTTATCTCGCGGTGGTGAAGATTTGATGCTTTCGCGGTCCATTGGTCCACTGGACTAATTTCCATGTCTTTTGATTGCCATCATTCTTCTCTCCTCAGGACTGGGAGAGACCAAGGGTGGCAGCCTTAGATGGCTGCTCACTAGCATATAAGACCCCTATTCACCAAAGTAGGATGAGAACATTGTCTTTGTGAACTATGTTCTGCCAGCAGACCTGGAGGACCAGTTTTTAAACTTACTTCCATCATTTAAAAATGATTTTAATTTTCATCCAAAGTGCTTAAATCATGAGTGGAGAGTAACCTGGATTGGTTTTAAAGTAAGTGAAATTAAACACCATAAAAATGTTAAATATACGTCTCCTCTTCCCTAAAGGAAAAAACAAATGAACAGTGAATTCCTTGTTATCCCTCATTTAGAAACAAGATTCTGATAAGCTTCCCCTAAAGACTTCTCCTAAAACAGTTCCCTACCGTCCTGGTGTCGGAAAGAGGACTCGTGTTCTCTTAAACCTCAGGACTGCACATCAACAGTGTGATCACTGTGCATCCTAGGGTCTGTGGTCAATGAAAAATGAGTGAGGCTTCTCACATTTCTCAAGAGAAAAGTGAATCTTCTTGAACAGCCACAAAATTGATCACTTCAAGTTCAAAATTAAGACAAACGCGCTTAATATCTTCCATAAACCTATGTTGTCCAGGAAGACAAATTGGAAAATGCCATGATTTATTACTAAGAGTACATATCTGCAGCCATCCACTAATTACAAAGACATGGTTTCTTGGGAATAAATCCATACACATTTAAGCTGCAGCCCGTGTAGCAAAACATTTATATTTATATATGTATATATATATGTAGAATTTGATTTATTTCTCCCAATTCAACTATCTCAATTATTTAAAGATTATTTGACTCTTTGGTTAAACATTCTAGTACTAACCTTGCGGGAGCAATCCATCCACGGTTTTCTAGAAACCTACTGTTGAACGGTTACAATCCTTGAAAACCCTACAGAGCGCAGCTCTGCTCAGAACACGTAAGGATAGAAATCAGAACCAACTTGACAGCAATTGGCATTTTCCCAGTATGGATTATTCCTTCTCAACCATTTCCTACATCCGAGCAGAAGATAACAGCCCTTTGACGTTGTAGGAAGTGCTTCAGCATCCACTATTTGTTGGGAGAATGAGGGACTTTAGAACAAACTGGTTTCATAAATTCTATAAGGTTACTTCTTATATGATTTTTATTTCCCCATCCTCTACCCCAACCAATAGAATATTGCCTAGCTGGTAGCAACTTCTTAGGTAAATTACAGAATGTGCTTGCCCTCTACCCTTGAGTAGAGGGGGAATATATATATGAAGATAGATAGATATATATATGATATAGATATATATTTATTCATCCACAGCTCTGCTTGCTGGCGAGTTCCTAAATCATCACTCTATTTCTCTATTTGGGCAGTTGATAATAATGTACCATCCACTTCTAACCAATGGTTTGTATTCCTTTGTTTTTTTTTACAGTTCTTTTACAAATTGCCACAAATTTAGTGGCTTGAAACAATGGTCTTAGTTATCTATAACAGAAATACCACAAACGGGTAGCTTTAACAAACAGAAATTTATTCTCTCCCAATTTAGGAGTCTCTAAGTCCAAATTCAGGAAGCTAGCTCTAATGGTAGGTAGCCTTTCTCTGTGTTGGCTCACGGTTCAGGGGGCAGGTCTGTTTCCTTTCGGCAACCCTTGGACATCCCCATGCTGTGTCTTGGCATCAATCATGCCCCGAGTCTATCAAGCGAGGAGGTCTGCCAGCCAGGCACTTTGAGTCCAAGGACATACTCCACTCCCAACTCGCCTATCTTTGGGGGTAATAGATCCCTTTGATCTCTGCTCACTTGTCTAATCTCTTTCATCTCTCAAGAGATATGAGCTACTCCTGTAGATGGTATATATTAACTCTGTGGCCTAAGCGTGGCTGTTCACCAAAGATGTGTGTCAGGGTTATAGCCTCTCACCGTGTTAGGTAGCAGGATAGGGATAGAAGGGGGTTGTGTCCCTCCCATGCCTGCAAAGGAGGTTGGGAAGGAAGCAGGTGAGCATTAAACACCTATGAGGACCCTTTCACTGGGCATGCTCCAATTCAGTCGTGTCCCTCCCCCCCCTGCTTTCCCATACACACACACCAGCCCACAGCCATGTGGGCTTGATTTAGCCAATAGGGTCAACTAATACCTTTGACCACACCTCCTCAGCCAGAGGTTTAAAATACCTTGGCAGCATCTAGCTCAGAAGCAACAAAGCCCACATGGAACAACATATCAACCTGTGTGATCACGG